AGAGAGAGAGGGAGGGAGGGAGGGAGGGAGGAAGGGAAGGATGGATAGAGAGGGAGGGAGAGACTGAGAGAGAGAGAGAGGGAGAGGAGGAAGAGAGAAAGAGAAAAAGGAAATAAAGAAAGAGAGTATATTGTATATGCATTACTCATACACAATAAGAGAGTTGCATTAGAATCATAATATCAAGCCTTTAGCGAATAACATTAAACAGAACAAATTCTAGTTTACTTGAAACTTCGTCTAATATCGGACGCAGTCATACTTTAATGGTAAAAAACATTAAAAGGGTAAACGGTATAAAATGTATCATCACATAAACGTCTTCATAAATGTCTGCATTGTTACGGCTGCTGCGCATACCTCGAATACATCACATTCTGTCCCAATGTACCTGTATGATTGCAATAAAAAGTACAAATATGATATTAATTTTCCAATACCGTCATGCTGCCCGGCAGCTTAAAATGTTTCGTGAATCTCGGGTGTCTCGGGAGTCTGAGTCTCGGGTGACGTGAACACATGACCCGATGACACGAGACCCGATTTCGGCAAATTCCAGTTGTACTCAATGCAGCCCATATATCAATAAGTTGTTAATTGAATTTGCGAGTAACATTATTGAAATAGATAAGGCAGTGGTAATAGCCTTATTCCTCCGTGAAGAACCAGGAGAATGGATATATAGATGTGTTGATATTTCGACAACATGCTTTTATCGAAACAATAGCGGAAGTAAATTGACGTGAAATCAACGTGGAAGCAATTAAAATAAACTCGCTTCTGCTGTTGTTTCGATAACTGTATGTTGTCGTAACATCACCACATCTAGATTTCCATTCTCCTCGTTTTTCCCCGAGGAATAAGGTTTTTACTTTTGTCTTAGCTCATATATTTTTAAGCTCCAGATATCATATGATCTCCTAGTCTTCGAAAATGTTTTGGGCAGTAGACTGCTGCCGGCTGCGAGAGGACCATGAACTTGTTATGTAGACAGAGGCTTGTTGACCAGTTGCCGACCAGTCCAGAGATTCACAAAACGCTCAACGGGGGACCCTGGTAGCAATAATAGCAGGGCCAGGTCAAATTATAATGCACTGTTCAAGCAACCACCATACTCAAATGTTTCCAGCACCCATCCGTTCTGAGATGATGAACCGTTACCTGTCTGGAGACAAAGCTATGACTGAAGCGTCGTCAGACCCCATGAACCGTTACCCGCCTGGAGACGAAACTATGACTGAGACATCCTGAGAACCCATGAACTTGTCTGATGAAGCTAGTACTGAGACATCCTGAGACCCCATGAACCGTTACTTGTCTGGGGATGAAGCTAGTTACTGAGACATCCTGAGACCCCATGAACCGTTACTTATTTGGAGATGAAGCTATTACTGAGACATCCTGAGACCCCATGAGCCATTACCCGCCTGGAGACGAAACTATGACTGGGACATCCTGAGAACCCATGAACTTGTCTGGAGATGAAGCTAGTACTGAGGCATCCTGAGACCCCATTAGCCGTTACCTGTCTGGGGACCGAGCCTGACGTTGAAACGTCCTAAGATGTCTTGGATCATTGCCTGTTCTGAAACACGAGGAGCCGCCATTTGCCTAGAGATGGCGCCTCAGACTGAGACGCATTGAGATGTCACGGACTTTTACCTGTCTGATGAATTCGGCAGCTGTTATCTGTCTGAAGATGTCTCCAGCTGTTTCCGGTCTAGAGACACCAGGAAGAGTTACCAATCTGGTACGCGGAGACCGCGGCGTCCTGAGATGTGACGTGCCATCATCTGCCTGGAGGCGCCAGAAATGTCTCTGCCATAATGCCTATGTCTATGCATTCATTCTGCGCGTGTTTGCAGCCGTCACCTGATTGGAAACGAAGGCCGAGATGAGTAGGCCGACGAAGGCGAGTATGGCGCCGAAGAAGGCTGTGCGCCGCAGGCCGGCCTGGTCGGCCAGCACTCCAGACGCCGCCGACATCAGGAACGTCAGACCCGTGCACAGCGAGCCGACCAGCGCTGCGAACAGTAAGAGTGTCAACACCTGGACCAGAGCTGCTGACATCAGGAGCGTCAGACCCGTGCACAGCGAGCCGACCAGCGCTGCAGACAGCAGGAGTGTCAACACCTGGACCAGAGCTGCTGACATCACGAACATCAGACATGTGCACAGCAAGCCGGCCAGCGCTGCAGACAGCAGGAGTGTCAACACCTGGACCAGAGCTGCTGACATCACGAACATCAGACGTGTGCACAGCGAGCCGGCCAGCGCTGCGGACAGCAGGAATGTCAGCACTCGAACCAGGACTGCTGACATCAGGAACGTCAGGTGCGGACACAGCACTCCAGCTAGCGCTGCGGACGGTAGGGATGTCAATACTCGAGCAGACCAGGACCGGACTGCACCCGGATCAGAGCTGTCTACAACAGTCTTATCAATATGGGCCGGAGCTGCGAACAATGCAATTTTGAACACAGGCCAAAGAGCCAGACAGCAGCAGACCGAATATCGGCAAAAATCACAGACACTATGGATTCAGGTACGAACATTGGTAATACGGACACAAAGGCATCCAGGTGTTATTAAGTATTATGTTGTTAAGTATTAAGTAAAGGTATCCATAAAGGTATCATTAGCGCTACGAACATAAGCCATTACGAACGTCTTCGATACAAGTGTATGCTATACGAACAGTTGGATTGTGAATACTTCGACCTACGAACATGTGCGATTGATTTCAAGCGTCTATGATTGTGAACATCTGTCTTACGAACATTTGCACCTACGCACATTCGCATCTACGAACACCTGCGCTACGAACATTTGCAATTGCAAACATAAGCGTTTATGACAATTGCCGTATGACATTTGTGCATTCGTGCAAAAGTGTTTCCGGACGTGTGAGTCACGATTCTTTGCGATTACGAATAGCTGTTTAGGAACACTTGGGTTCATATATTTGCCAACGTATATTTCTGCACGTATGCATATCACGTATCTGCACGGATCAACTCTGCTCCGCGTGCATTTGTCATGCAATCATTTGGGAAAAGTACGTGCCAAATACTAAGATCACTTTTCCGCATTATAGTGAAATTGGAACCAGCGAAGAAGATAGTCAAATATTGACGATTGCACTCGAGGCAGTGAGCACGTACAACGCACAGGGAAATCGGTGAGCCATGGTCACTTGGGCAGCATTGGCAGTTATCCGTGCCTGTCGGAACAGCTGCCTTATTCTTGTTTCTTGAACGAGGAAAAAACTGATTGCTAAAAAGGGTTATCAAAACCATAAAATGTAGAATAATGTTGTAAATATTATTTACTCGACAGGATTTGAACCCGCTGAACCGTGCCACTGCGTTATGAATGTCGTATTATAGCCCTCCAAAAACTTTTGTTTTGAGACAGCCAGAATTGAGATTCGCCCTGTTAACCCGGCTATTTCCAGTGATGTCAGCAGGAGGGCTCCTGGAGACCCGAGGTGAGGCTCAAGCCCTGCCCACTGCGCAGTTTTCTCTGGCATATCACGGCAGCCCGCATGAGTGGTGGCCACGGCTGGCAACGACCGTTGCCTGCGGCTGTTCCGGAAAATAATAGACGCACCGGTTTTTTCCAAGCTACCCTGTCGCTATTTGCTACGTCCGTTATCATGACCTCAACGACCAATATTCTTTTCCGAAACATACAGGCTACGACCCTTTATCTGCCATCATTAAAAAAAGCGGCGAAAAGGGTAAACATGGTGTATACAGTGATAGCTACACGAAGATACGCATGGGTCACAGCATCTGTGAACTATATCTAACTGCACCATAATAGCGGTGTTTATGTTAAGCACCCCCTTACCCACCACGTCCTAACAGTACCGTTTTTGGCCAATGGGTGAAATCAATTGCATGAGTGTGCATCCAGATGAGGCGTATGATTTCTGTGATTAGCAAATGGGCCATCGATTTATTACATTACGCATGGCGATGACGTGGGGGGGGGGGGGGGCGGGGGCTTTGGTGCGGCGTAACGTACCCAAAAAGTAACGGTGGGGAGGTAGTTATAAACATTACACAACTGCATTTGGTTGCATGAATCTGTCAAAATGACGAGCTCTCAGCAGCCTAACCTGCATCGATGTACGTCTTCGCGACGAATGAACATCGCTGCAAAGGACCCAACACACATATGGCTGGGAACCCCGAGTACTAAGGTCTGGGATACTTTGGCTCAGTTCTGCTGATCTCACACGGGTAACACGGTGGTGCCACCTGGCAGCGGCAGCCGGTACCCGCTGCCCGGCCCATTGATCCGATGCCGGCGCCGTCCCAGCTGTCGCACGGCAGCGACGGGCGGGACCGCCGGCTCGGCCGGGCCGACAGTGGGCGTGTCGTTCCAGGAGTGCCACCATACCCGGAGATTCTTCATATAGCAACAGGAGATTTGGCCGCCGGGGAACCCCCGCGTGGATCTCATCAGCAGCGCCCAGGCTCGGTCGGTGGGGGGGGGGGGGGGGGTGGGTCAAAACACAGCGGCTGCTTGTCGCCCGGAAATGAGCCCGGGAGCCCCGGGCGCAGGCGGGATGTGGAAACAGGAAGCAGGTAACCGTGGCCCCCGTAAGGATAAGAAGGAACGCAAGGGCTGGTCCGCGCCGTACTAAGTTTCCTCAGTCAGCAGGGCTGGTATCCTTATTAATGAATGACAAGGGTACCAAAGTCAACCAGAAAGCATGTTGAGCCGATCGGGGGCGCCGGAGCAAACGGAGCCTCCATGGCCTCAGGTCTCGGAGACTGGTAATACGAACAGCCGGTCCCGAGACGGACCAGGCCCATTTTCCAAGCGTGGACAAGGCCCGGGCCTACGAATGCCAGGCAGAACATCTCTTGCATTACTTGGGGTCCGCAAGAAAATGAGGGGCTCTGTGTCGGCCAGGTGTCCAGGATCCTGCGTCGCCAAGAGGTCCCAGGTCCTCCAAGCCCCATTTGCAGGACAGAGAAGGGATGTGATCCCGAATGTCAGAGTGTCTCTTGCGTTGGTCAGAGGCCTCTGACAATGAAAACATATGTAAATGGCCATGGAAGGGTCTACAACGAGAAAATAGATGAACCCTGTATCAAACGGGCCCCGGTAGTGGCGCACGCAAGGGAAGCACGGTCAACGCGTGCCCTCCCTCCTCTGCCCTCAGGACCGAGGATCACGTGCCCGATTTGAGGAGCCGAAGGGTCCGAACGGCTGGCTGGAGGTCGTATTAAGGGGCCCCAGTCCACAGGGCCGGACCCTCAAGCTCCAGTCAGCATCCTGTGTCAGTCTCATCCCTGGGGACCTTCCCGCGGGTGCGCACGGCAAGCGTCCCCGAGATGGCCGGTGCTCGTGTTCAAGGGTAGCCGAAAAGGGGGCCGAAAGGGAGATCAAGGGCTGGATTGCATAATGAAGGGCCCAAACGATCCGGAAGGCTGTCACTGACATGCCGGCACGTTGAGGGTCGCACTAAAGACCCCGTGCGTAGAGCCGTGACCTCAACTGAAAGTCCAACGACCTTCGCGCCGATTGGGGTCTCCTGGCTCAATGCAGGTCTCTATTTTGACTAGAAACCACCAACAAAGCACAGTCGGCTCTGCGTCTGTCTCAGTCCTGGGGACCATTTCCCAAGCAAGGGCAAGGCCGTAGCCTGCGATTTACATTGGTCGGGGTCGCTGAAACAGTCGGGGTCCCCTGTGGCGATTAGGGGCTTACAATGTCTAATAGGGGTCCTGTGTCTAAAAGGGACCCCAAGTCGGCCATGGAAACATTCACCGAACAGGAACAGGGACGGGACCTCGAATGCTAGAGAGCCTTTTACGTTGTTCAGGGCCTTTGACAATGAAAGCAAATAGGAAAACTTATGGTGATAGTTCAAGAGACAATGAAAGGTCTATGCGTCCGTCAAGGCTCCCAGTATCGAACGGGGGGGGGGGGGAGTTCACACCATTTCATCCAAGGGCTCGTTAAGCCGAATTGGAGTCTCTGTACTCATTAGGGGAAAACCTGCGGCGAGAGGGCATATTTTCGTGTCAGTGAGGACCCTGCGTGAATCCAGGGTCAAATGTTCGGGTCAGAGGGCCTCCCGCGTCAGGGAGGGAACTTATGTACGATGTATCCCTCTAGGGGCCTCCGGACCGACCAGGAACCCCTACGCCGTGTTCTCAGAATGGCAGCCAGAAGACACTCCGCGCAGGAACGGAATGGTCCAGCAGCCCTTAATTGGGGACGATAATGCCCCTCCCTTCCCTTCCCCCCCCCCCCCCCCCGAGTACCAACTACGGAACAAGATGTTGGTCCCATGAGTGTTTCACAGAGTGGACCGAAATGAGGTCCACAAATAAAAAAACAAAACAATCCATGACTGACTGAGAATGCCCATCGTCTATCTGAGAACGTCTAACGTCTACCTTTTTGCAGAATCGATTGGTGAAACAAATTACATCAAAAGTTGTCAGAATGCGTTTTCGCAATCTTCGGAGCAAGAGCACCGATGGCCGGGTTTGCAGCTTCCGTAAAATCGAACGGCGCTGGCTGCTACTGATAGAAAGGCGGCTAGCGTCCGGAGCGAAAGAATGGCCGTCGTGAAATATTTCTTCAGAAGGTCTCCGAAAATAGATTTGAACCGTTCAAAAATAAGACTGGGGTGTATATATCACCAATTAAATGTTAATTTCTTCATATTAGCAATGGCACTGGTGATATATACGCACTGACTACGCTCTTAATGTGTGAAGTGATGTTCTTAAGCGGCTAAAGGTACTATTTGAACTGAGGTACTACCTGTCGTTAATCCGCGCTCTAGAATCGCCCAATGGCGTCCAGGTACTGAGGGAGAGAAGGATCGCGACGGCTGCTCACAGTTCAGGAAAAAGCTGGGCGTAGGCGCAGCCCGATTAAAAAATAGCAGTGACTGGTTTATGCCGATACAAATTCAGGGATCAGAACGGTGTGCCTGATAATGATCATGCCGTCTCTCAGCCGAAGGGAGTCCGCAAGCGGCGCAGCAGTGCAGATCAGCGAAGGAAAAAATAATCGATCATATGTTAGCATGTGCCCAAGACGTTTGTAAAACGGGGCTGAAAAGGAGAGAACCCAATTGCTGTGACCAGTCAACAATCACCACGTGCCACTCTTCACTCAGTGTAGCTTAAGGTTCTGAGCATAGTTTCCTGTTTGGGGGGGGGGCCTTCAACCTCTGTCTCAAACTTCGAGAAGAGAGTGGGCCAAATTGAGGGAAAAAACCGTTTGTTGACGCATTTTGGGGATAGGTTGTGCAATTTTGCACTGTTCAGCACCACCTCTCTCCAATTCATTTTGTGAAACCACGCCACTGAATTGATGATACTAAGAGCAACGTCTAGCAGGCTTTTCAAAAATGTTTAGCACCGCATCTAGATTGGACTTTTTTCCACGCTTGTTCTTTGAAAAGTCTCGCGGTCCGGTCTTCAGGCTTCCTAGCCGAAATGGTGGTTTTTGACCGGTTGGTCGTGGCATGCTTTCTGTCATTGACATTGTAAGGTACAGGGCCGTCCTCAGGAAGCCATATTGCGTACAAACAATACAGCGCTGGCTCCTTGGCACTGTACGGTGTATGGAAACCGGTTTGATATGTAACAGCATCGTGTAAAACAGTACAGTTTCTCGCACAAGCTGCAACTAAGTACGAGTGTCACACGTGTAATAATTCATCAAGGCACAACGCGAGCACCGTTCGTTGTATGTCCGTCCCGACAACCCAGTTGCTAAGAGCGCCTGCCTTCCGATCCACCCACCCGCGGCGGGGTGGGTTCGAGTCGCTTTAGGCGCTCGCTGTTTGCCATGGAGACATGACCAGTGGCCGGTGGCAGCGGCCGCGCTAAAGGGCAGGTGACGTCAGACGGCAGGACGGACCGTGCCAAGCATTGCGGTATGCTATACTTTCGCCACGAAATTCTCCCGTAGACGTGGCATTTCACGATCGGATGGTGGGGTCAGGGCCACAGAACAAACTCTTCTTGGCGCAAGCTCTGACCAATCAAATCCATTCATTCAAAATGTTTGGATAAGATCTTTAAAAACCTGTATCATATGCACATGCACACGATAGAGCAATGCATGCACAGCAACGATACAACCACTGCCGAGGTAATAGTGAGCGCTATCCTGCACAATGATGTGAAAAGTTGAGCCGAACACGACGTGATGACAAATTACACCACTGGCAAGTTCGGTGACTGGAAAATAGAGTCAATACCAGCGCGCCAGCTACTCACAACATTTAAAGGCGGCGTTTGCCACTCCATTCGCCTCCATCTTCTGCAGCAGCGCCACGTAAAGCACGCCGTAGCAGTTGACGATGCCGAAGATGATGCCGTTGCACAGAAAGCTGACCAGCACGACGAGCCAGCCGGCGGCGCCGCCGTCCTTCTCGGTGTCGCGCGCGCCAGGAGGGTCAGCGCCGTCCGGCCTCTTTTCCGGATGACCCGGGGTCAGCCGGGTGACCTCGGCTGTGACCTCCGTGTTGCGGTCGGCTGTCTGGGGCGGCATAGCTAGACCGCTGCCGGCGCTCCGCTCCCGAGATAGCCCGCGGCGGGATCGATTGGGCTGGCTGCCGCCCGGACGCCAACCGAGCGAGCACTGGCGGTCGGCCGTCGGCGGCGGCGGGTGGGCGCCGCCCCCACCCCCGCCCCCTCTCTGGGGCGGGGAACGTCTGCTCAAGCCGGCTGGTCATTCAGAGGCACTGGGGAGGGGGGGGGGGGGGAGCGGGCTTCTCGCATACGGCCAGCTCTGTTCGACAGCGGCTCGCACTGCCATATAGGAGGCGGCGGGCCCCCTTATTACCTCGTGTTCCATCCGACCACTAAGAAGATAATCAAACTGATCGGCACCACAAACAATGCTGGGAGTTCAACTGCATGTAATTACGACCAGCGTGTCTGTGTCCTGAAGTGCTATCACTTGAGCCCCAGCACCACACCTTCCCTATTGAGGCTTGAGCGTGAGTCGCAGCTCGTTCCGAAGCTCACCGGCTCACAATGCAGCCTCCGCTTTCGGGATGTGGTGAGATCAGCAGAAACGCGTCAATATCGGGATCTCCGAATCAAATCATCACGATACCAGCACTGAAATTTTTTCATCCCGGCTCCGATACTCAGGGAAGAACGCGTTACGATTTACATTAAAAATGATCCCATGCTCACCATGATTGTAAGATCTTTCTAAAGTACGAAAACAAACCAAATCAAGTGGCTGCCACAGAAGGCAAACGCGCTGGTGAGCAATCAGACCAACTTCTCTCGGGGCAGACCTTCTGCGCTGCCAGTACAGTCAGCTGGAGTTGGAGGCTCGGCCTTCAATCTATTGATTAAGAACAGAGCTGATGAACGCTATTTAAAGAAGGCCGACGCGACTCGCATGTACAATGGAGTGCAGTAAATGCGATGACTCATCAAGGACATGATTTCGGTTGATCCGACAGATGCAGCTGTCGAACCGTTTCCGTTGATGGAGTTAAAGTTGCCAAAGTAATATAGAAGTTGTGAACTTACAGAGTAGTTTCTGAGCTTGTTACGAGATCAAACACCTGTCACATATCACGCTCTGAACGGATGCAAAGCTGATGCAAGTAACATAGCTTCGGTTTGCTGCAGTGTGCAGATTTTATGGCATGTCTTACTTTTGGTGTCAATGCGTGACCAAGATTTGAATATAAAATGTAGATGCTTGGTGACACAAGTTTGGCGACTGCAGATCCCTTTGCTAATAATGAAGGGCATAATATAAATGCCATAACATACGAGATTTGTGGTAAATAGGTGAATGCGCGACGAGCAAAACGTCAATGAAACTCGCGCACAGTACAGGTGGAGGCTAAACATTTCTGAGGGATCATTAAAATAATTTATCTTCTTCTGATGGCATGTCCAATACGGACGCATTTAATTGCATGCTGACGCTTTGGTTTTACTTCATGGAAAATGCAGTTTTCAAACAGGCGTACATTCATTGGAACGTTTCGCAAACATAGCTTGATGCACGCCCGGGACCGCGCTCGTCCCCGGAGTGACATTTGTCACTGAGACACGCGCCAGGGTCGGTCTCCGTAGTGACGGGCTGCCCGTCGCGGCCCGGTGCTGGAGCCGCTGCCGTGCGGCTTCCCGGGCCGGCCGCACCGCTCCGGCCGCGCCGCGCCGGTGCCCCGGCGTGAGAGCGCCGTGGAGCGGATGTTACACTGCTGAGGCGGCGGCGCCGGCCCGGCCGGACGGCACACGACCGGCCCGACGGCGGGCAGGCCTCGACACGCCGCAGAGCGGAGCCGCAGACGGAGGGGTAACCAGCTGCGTCCTACGGCGGGGTATGTTATGGACTTCCAACGACGGCGAGCGCTCGTTGGTCACCGAGCCTCGTCGATCTGTGTAGATGACGTCGCCGGGATTGATGACCTTTACTTCAGATGGTAGAGTTCAAGCCATTCCAGCCGTATCCTCTGTAGTGACGCCTGTTTGAGGGGGGGGGGGGGGGGTACGCACTTACCGGACAGACGTGTCCCTGTCGTAATTACAACATGGCAGACAAGGCCGCCCCTAATCGATGGCGCGGCCGATGGAGCTCCCCGACATAATGAAGGCGCGTGGCAGCGCCTCGTGCTCAGTCAGGTGATTTCTTGGCGTCGGGCCAATGCCACGGCCCCGACGCCGGCGCGCTGAGGCAGGCCTTCTGTTCTGCCGCGAGCTGATGACTCGCGCCACCGAACTCCGACGACTTGCGCAAGCCGGCTCCGATGACTCGCGCCAGCCGGCTCCGATGACACGCGCCAGCGGGCTTCGATGACTCGCCGAGAAAGCGAAGCAATCCGATCCGATCCGAAGAGGGCAGGGCATTTATGCCTATTTTTTGTCAGCGCCATAGATGCACGCAAAATCTGGGGGTAATAAGCGGGTCGCACCCTCTGCCTCGGTCTCTCAGTTACGCCTTACGTTCACCTGGATGTTAAGTGGAAACACGTATGCATGGGCATACAATGCCAACACGTCCGCTCAGGCTACGTTCGAACTCTCCAAAAAAGCACGAAACACAATATGGTTCAGTGCAATCCATTGGACGAATTGCTTAAACTCATCCTGGGCCATCAGCTGTTCCAGGTGCCACGGCCATGACTAGGCGGCGATCCTTCTCCGCACCTATGCGTTACGAACGACGAGGATCCGACTGCGTGAGCAAATCGCTTCAAAAGAGACAAATGTGGTACCGAAAATCGTATTTTATCGAGCATCTAAATCGAATGTCTGCCACTTGCGGCTGACAACTGCAACGCTCACAGGCTCTCCATTGTTCTCACGTATACCAAATGTTGAATACAGGACAATGCCGCAAATGCGGCACGATTGGCTTCATTTGCGCATCTCCTCATCGGCCGGAATGAAAAGTCTTCAGCCTTTCAACATATCAGTGGCGTAGCAAGGGTTCGACCTCAGCCCACAAACAAAACGTGCCATACCAAAGTCACTAGCTGTTCACATCACGGGATTACCCTAGACTCGGCGTCGGGCGGTTTTCCGTCAGGTACAGATCTATCACCATTTGCCGCGCGTCGGAAGCCGACCGGGCCGTCATCTCACGCGCATGCCAACAGCAACGAGAATGTTATCCAAGCAATGCGTTCTAAGCACTCTCCTGCGCCCATTCGGCCACATCGCCGCTACCGCCTGGCACCCACCAGCGAGTCTAAAGGCATTCAACGTCGGCATCAGCACCATCCACGGCCTGCCACACAATACGCGCGTTGGCGTGCAGACTGAGCGTCTCGTTGTCCCTCGACGTGCGCAGCACCTGTCGCAGGCAGAGCCACACCGAGTCCGCGTCCCAGCCGGCCACGGTCAGCATCAGCTGGCGCGCCGCCGTCTGCAGCTCGTCCGACTGCCGGCTGCTGAGGTAGGGCAGCGCGGCGCGCAGCAGCTCGTCCAGCTCCAGCGCGTCCAGCCGCAGCCGCGCAGCCACCTCACCCAGCAGCTGGAGGCAGGTCAGCTGCAGCTTGTAGGTCTGCGTGAACGCGTAGTTTCCGGCTGGCCGCTGGGCAGCGCTGGTGGCGGCCTGCGCGCGCAGCCAGGTCAGCAGCGGCCGGAGCGGGCCGGTCGTGACGCGTCGCCGCAGGAAGTCGCCGGCGCTGCACACCAGTGCGTGCAATGCGGCCAGCGCGTAGCGCAGCAAGAGCGGCTCGGTGGCGCGGCAGCAGCGCAGCAGCGGCTGCCAGCAGCGCGCCGCCAGCGGCAGCAGCTCGTCCTGCCAGGCAGCCAAGAGCCGGCTGCCGGCCGCTAGCGTGGCCAGCACGTCCACCTGAACGGTGATCACATCACAGTCTAGGAAGTGCACGCTCTGCTGCACCACGTCACGCACCAGCCGCACGTGCAGCGGCACTTGGGGCTTGACCTCCTCCGCCGGCTCTTGCGCGGTCGTCTCAGGCTCGGCGTCCTCCGCGGCCGCCCGGTGTCGCCGGAACCCCTCGGCGGCGTCCTCGGGCGGCTCCTCGGCGTCCACACGCGCCAGCTCCTCCCGCAGCGCCGACTGGTGCCGGTGGTGCGCCAGCAGCCGGTCGCGCGCCGTCGGCGGCGGCGGCTCGGCGGCGGGCGGCGCGTCCGGTGGGTACCAGCCGAGCACGGCGTCGACGGTGCGCCGCAGTGCGGACAGGCAGGCGGCGCCGCACCGCTCGTAGTCCTCGTCCAGCGCACGCATCACGGCGCGCACAGTATCCTCGAGGTAGGGGAGCGCGTCCGGCTCGGAGCATTGCAGCACGGCCGCCACCAGCAGCGGTGCCGCCTCGCGGCCGCGCCGGCTCGTCAGCCGGCTGCGCACGTGCACCGCCAGGCGGCACACGTTGTCGCGGACGAGCGCCGGCACGCCCGCCTCGCCGGCCATGGCCGTCACGGCGGCGCGCGCCGCCTCCGCCACCAGCGGGTCGGCGCCGCCGGCCGCCTCCAGCACCGGGCACAGCGCCAGCACGTGCAGCGCCACGTGCCGGCCGCCGGTGACGCGCGCCACGTGAGCGAGCCCCTCCAAGCCGAGGCAGCGACGGACAGCCGGCTGGGTGGGCTCGATGAGTAGCAGCAGCGGCTCTAGGTCCAGCTGCTGCAGCAGGTCGTGCTGCGGCGCGACGCCGCGCGTCGCCAGCAGGGCCGGCTCCTGGCCCAGCAGCAGCTGGTTCCAGACGACGCGGTCCTCGTCGGCTGAGCCGTCCGTCTCCAGCAGCTCGAGCAGCGTCAGCAGGTCGCCGTGGCAGCCGAGCAGCCGGCACGCCGAGCAGACGCGCTGCCACACCTCCGGCTCGTCGAAGTGCCGGAAGCGCTTGAAGTCGGGCATGCGGTGCGGCGCGCCGGTCGGGCCGCAGCTCGTCACGTACGGAACGAGCGCCGCGTCGGTGCGCAGCTCCACCAGCTGTGTCAGGCAGCTGAGCAGCAGGCGCACGTGCGCCGCCGACGCAGTCAGCTGGCGCACGCGCGGCCCCAGCAGGTGCAGGTAGCCCTCGAGTAGCGACAGCTGCACCAGCGAGGCCGGCACGTTGTGGCTGCGCATGACCGCCGGCAGCCGCGCCGTCAGGGCGTAGAAGTCCTCCTCGACCGCCTCGACCAGCGACTTGGACATGGCGCGCGCCTGCACCTGGCGCAGCGCCGCCTCGGCCGCCTGGCGCACCGCCGGCACGCTGTCGCACGACACGAGGATGAGCAGCTGCAGCAGCGGCGAGGCGCAGTTGGGCAGCGTGCCGGCGCACCGCGTCAGCACGCTCTCGGCGAGCCGGACCACGCTCAGCCGCACGTCGGCCTGGTGGTGGCGCGTCAGCGGCGTCAGCGCGCGCACCATCGCCAGCAGTCGGGCGGCGGTGTCGCGCAGCCACACCTCGCCGCGCGCCAGACTGGGCAGCCGCGCGTCGGCGGCGCTCGGGTCCGGCAGCGGCGCCGCGGCGTCGCCCGCCACGGCCGCGTCACCCATCACATGGCACACGAGCGCCGCCCAGGCGTGCACGGCGCGTGCGATCACGCGGTGCCCCTGCTTCAGATCGCCGGCGAACACGGCGTGCAGGGCGCTGAGCACGCCCGGCAGCAGTGCCACGAACACCAGGCCGGCGCGGTGCCGGAGCGCGTCCGACAGCGGCCGCTCGGCGCCGGAGCAGGCCAACAGGCTGTCCATGGCGGCCAGCCGCAGCTCGCGGCTCCGCTCGGTCCGCACCAGCGCCGCCAGGTGGAACACGGCGTGGCCGAGCGGCAGTCGACCGCGCTCCGAGTACAGCGCCTCCAGCGCTGGCGGCGCGCAGCTCAGCACCAGCGCCGTGCCACAGCGCACGGCCGCCAGGCGCAGCTCCTCGCTGCCCTGCTCCGGCTCCGGTTCGCTGGCGCCGCGCCCCAGCAGCAGGAACACGCGCGGGAACAGGTCGGCCGCCAGCGCCGCGTTGCCGGTGCTGGAGCGCTCCACAACGGACGTCATCAGCTGCAGCGCGGCGATCGTCAGCCGCTCCTCCCGCTTCGGCAGTTGGAGGATGGCATGCACAGGGAACAGGAGATATTCCTGGATGGCCTGCAGAGAGGCTTTGTCTCCAGAGTGATGTTCAATGATGCTACGCATGTTCTGCACATTCTTGTGTGTGGGTTCCGTGATAACTTTGATGCAGACTGGTTGGATGATGTGGAACAATGATGAGCTTTGTGGATCTGGCTTCATCCCTGAAATGTCAAGACACACATGAGGTGTATGATATGGAACAATGCATGTTGGAAATGTAGCTTTACCCACACTTAGCACTACATGAAATCTTCCAATATCTGACTTTCTGTATACAAGCTGTTGATGTTAAGGCCCTATGGACATGGTGACTCATGTTCATCTCATGCTCAAAGAGGAAGGGAACCAGAATTGTATCTTTGGAATGGTCAAAGGCTGTGTGAGCATTTGGCATGTTCCAAAATCTGCCTTCTTTAACTGTTTGTACCAATACCACCCATTCTAACATATATCCTGAAATGCACTGTCTGGATGCAGGGTTACCTGATATGCACAGATCAGGCCTTTGGGCATGAGTAACAGTCTAAGACAATACAGCATGCTTAGTTAAGTTTATTTTCACATAGGGTCAGCAAACTGTATACTCCTTCCATGTGAAAGAATATTGTGTATCTGATTGGGAGTCTGACAAAACAGCAGCTATGGTAACCTGTGAACTGCAGTTAATCAGTTGATGTTAGAAAAGGGGGGTTCAATGCACTGCAGTTAATGACTTTTAGCAATACCTCATCAGCTAAATTAAGGTTCTCTACCAATACAACAAAATTTCATTATACAATTTCCAGAAGTCACTAAATACCTGTTTTTCTACAGTATAAGACATTGCTCATTCACATGAACTGTTGTTCCATAAATTAAGGTTACACCACTGCTAACACATGTCCAGTATTCTTAATAATCAATATTTCATTTGCACATGAAGCCTGCATGCATGCCTGCAAAGTATGCATTCCAGACCACTACTCCAAGGTAACTTGACTAACAGCATTCTGCAGTTATTCTGTGCATGAACTGCAGCTTCATGGTTATATACTCAAGCAATAGAAAAATCTGGAAATGTTTTTAAAAATCCAGCTTTCATTGCACACTGTTTATCAGCCACAGGCCCTTCCACTACATGTTTAAGGAACTTGTAAAAAGTTTGTTTACAACAAGATACTCAAGACAGAAGTTGCTTTAATCAATTTGGTTTAATTCAACACCATATTTGTTCCTCTTGCCACGATGATAGCTTGACAACACCATATACAGGCAGCAGGCAAGTTTGGTTAAAAACACAAGTTGCATTACGCTGCTCATCTACCGGAAAAACAGCATGCTTTGAACAGCACAACAAATAAGGGGCTACCTGGGACAAAGCTTCTCAACCCAGAATAAGTTGCCACCAGTACGACACGACTGCGAGGCCCTTCACGTCAAAATCACACCACCGTTCTAAATCCAGTATCAGGCTACTACGCCGATATCAATAATATACGCGAGTGATCCGCCGGTTGTGTAGCTTCTGCGGCATTTACGTCTTCTCATTTCATTTGTCACATCGTTTGATTCCCTAAATCGGCGCCATTTGCCCTAAAACCAGTACTACGATACAAATTAAGGGGAGGGCGACAAAGACAGCAAGTGAGTCATATCATATCTGGACAGCGTCGTGATCACAATAGGACCGAAATGCAATATTTCCAGAATGATGAATATCTCGCAGCGGCGGCGTCTGCCTCGTGGGCGACAACCGCGACTGCTGAGTCCGTTTACCCAATGCAAATGAGTGAAAGGAATTTCCAGCAAGTTTTTCCCCTCCTCATTGAATAACGGATGTGTCTTCCAAGAATCATATGACCAGCTGAAAATTTGCTGTTAATATGCTGTTATTGCATACGACCGCAGTTGAAAATGCGTATTACGTAACAAGCGAACGTGATTTTACAATACAGCTGCTGATGGGTGGCTGGAAATGAAATGCACACTGAAATATAATTTTGACATAACTGCTCGTATTCGTTAAAAGCATCAAAATGTATGTTATTGATCACTTCAGCAGATAACTATTTCATAACAAATTTTGAGAAAACTATCAACCTGAGCACAAAATGGGGCGAACCAATGACGTTATACTACTAAATATTAGCCAATTTTCAGAATTTTTAAGGGACAGCTGTCAACTTTTCTCAGTGCTGAGGAAACTGAGCATTTGTTGTGTCGTCTGCTCTTATTTACATCGCAACCATGGGGGGGATCTGTCGCGCGGCGGGTCTTCTAGCTGGGAAAGGATTTGCATCCATTTCGGTGAGATATCCTAGGTGCTACTGATACATATTGGTGGAAATTGTTCTCTTCTTGACACTGTGACGCTAATAATGCTGCGTATCTCTGCCCCGCCCAAGGCCGCGCCGATTCTGCCTTAGTTTGGCTCTGCTGTTACATACCAGTTATGTAACAAATCAAACATTGATCTAACTTCGAAATCACAGCCTAAGCTGCCCATGACGTTGTGAGTCCTATTTCAAAGACAACGCTGTATGTATGAGAGCCTCTGAAAACCACCTGTAATGTAGTTGTTGATCTCCATCTACTCACAGGGCTCAGAATGTTACATGATGCTGACTCAAAGACTGCCATGTCCTGTATGATGAAAGTTGAGGCATGTGTGTGAGGCATGCAAGGGCACTATGCCTAAGGGCTGATATTCCAAAAAGTTTTACTTTTTACATGTCTACGTTTCTGGCCGTCAATAGTGGTGTGATATGATGATCTTGTTTTGGGAGGAGTGAGGCACAACTTCCCACTTGAGGAAAGTTTGCAAAATTTAGGGCAGATATCATGGAATTGGACCTTTGAGGCCACTGTGATGTGTTCTTGGGTACATTCAGCTGATAAGATTTTAGGAAAGGACCAAATCTGATGGCAAAGCATTACATCAGGTTACATAAGGGTCCATGTTTAGGGAGCAGTGGAGTTCACAAAATCTGGCCCAAAGGTGGCAAATTACTGTCCTATTTGGGTCATAATTTAGTCTGCCCAAACACTGTACTGGCATATTTGCCATGGCTTGCAGCTCGGCCTTACAATTTACCTACAAGTTACCAATAACTTAGCCAATTACCTTTGGCGGAATGATTCGGCAAGCCCCTAGTGTTTTGTTATACACTTAACAAATTCTGATAGCATTTGACTGAGGACAACTATATAATGTGCCACTTGGGCCAATTGGCCAACCATGGTCATTGAACTATGATCACATGTTGTTTTAAATATCACATGCAGATAAGGGAGTAATAATGTCAACACCAGAGATGAAATGTATGCTGTACAAATCATGCTCATAAATGTAAACTAATAGCAAGTTCATAGATAACTGCAAGTAGGTGCAAATTTTGCTAATACAGAGCATGTTATGAGAACATTTAGGTAAAGATCAGCTTTGATCTAGATAACCATAGTTCCAAGATAACCAAGTTCATAGATAACTGCAAGTAGGTGCAAATTTTGCTAATACAGAGCATATTATGAGAACATTTAGGTAAAGATCAGCTTTGATCATGGTCTTTGGTGACCTTTAATTGTGAAAGATCACTTACAGAAGAGGAAAAGAAAAATTGTAAGCTGAAAAGGAATGTAATTGACACATGAACATGCTACATACATTCTGATATTATCTCATTTTTTGCCAATTGTTTTTTACAGGGCTATGCGGCACCTTGTGCGGCAACTGTGCAGCGGAATTTCCACTTCACCATTGAAGGACGCACAGCAGATGCTAATGCCTCCCGCTCAGCACAGGTATGTGAACATGCAAATACTGCTGATGTGACTGAAAGTATGGAACATTATGTAATTTTTCACTCTTGGAGCTACATTATTGTGGGAACTGGGTGGCAAATTTGGTTTCAGTTTCAAGGTTTTACCTGAGGCATGCCAAGTTTAAACAATGTTTGTATTTGTCACTACCATAGCCAGCAATGCTATACACAATCATACCATTATACCATAAGCTGAAAATGAATGTAACTGACATGAACAGGAACAGTATACAACCACCAAATACCTTCAGAACCACTGTGGGAGCATCCAAGCAAACTGTCTTGTTGCCTTTTTTATAGAGGACTACTTTTTAACAACAAAATTGATCACAGAGCTTAACATTCAGCCCTCACCTGATCTTCCCATCAGGCTCTCGCCTATGCAGCATGCTGTGAGCCTGCCACACACTCCAGCTTGGCAGGAGTGCATCCATCACCAGGTCTTGTGTGTTCACCACCTGGTCTTGTGTGTTTGCCGCCAGATCTCCCGCGACTACCCGGTAGTGGACCACACATATGACGCCGTGGTGGTGGGTGCCGGCGGCGCTGGCCTGCGCGCCGCCTTCGGCCTGGTCGAGGAGGGCTTCCGTACGGCCGTCATCACCAAGCTGTTCCCGACGCGGTCTCACACGGTGGCGGCGCAGGGTGGCATCAACGCCGCGCTCGGCAACATGGAGGACGACAACTGGCAGTGGCACATGTGAGTCGCCGCCAGCGCGCGCCTGGGTGATGTCCTGGGAAGAAATGCCAGGGAATGATGTGGAACAGATGGACACTGGTGTTATTGATTACTGATCTGTTTCGTGCTAGGTTATATGATCATTTTGGTGA